TGTCTTCAATATGGAATTGTTAACCAAGTTTTGGTATAGCCAGATAATAAAGTATTATGCATTATTAAAAGGCTGAGTGACAGTCACATGGAGAGATACAGAGCTAGGTTCAGATCTATTACTTTTGAAAAGCTACGAGAGTATGACCAGTGCCATCCCATTTGTATTTTTTATGTTTTTAAAAAATACCCACAAATACACACACTTCCTTAAAGGCTTTATGAGCGCTAAGTCAGGAGAGGCTGAAAGTCACAGGGAAAGCTAGCACGGCCCTTCCTGCCGGCTGTGACCAGAGGTGGCTGGAGAATGTCGCCAGCTGAAAGGTGCCTCTCCACTCCCTGCACCAACATCACCAGGGGATAGGTGAGACATAAATCCTCAGGCCCCGCCCCAGACCTGGCACCACAGGAACTCAGTGGATGGGGCCCTCCAGGGGACTGAGGCCCACAAAAGCCTGAGATTAACATTCCCAATGCCCCCATGTCTGGAAACTTCAGTGAACTGCGGGAAATGTGTCACCTCAGGGTCACTGTGTGCAGGGTGGGGCATCTCCGGAAGGGGCATGGAGGCGTCTTAGACCAGAGTGAGGAAGAGGAAAAAATTCCCCAGTCTCTGAGCCTACCTGGCTGACTCTGGCATGTTGCTGGGAACTGGCTGGGTTGGGTGGGGTGGGGTGGGGTGGGGTGAGGAAGGCAGCTGAAAGTCAGGCAGCCAGAGGCTGGGCAGGGAGAGGTGGAAGGAGGAGGAAGGGGCCTCAGCCACTGAGTCTTAACTCTCCTGAAAGCTCCAGAAAAGGCTGAAGGAAGGTAACTCTGCCCTCTGCTGCTCTGTGGGAAACCATGAGTAGTCCAGAAGGTGAAGGAAGTGCAGGGGCCGGTCCACCCAGGCTCAGACAGAAGGGTGCAAGCAGGGCCGGCTGCCTCGGGGGCCACCAACATAACAGGTTGGGGCAGGAGAGCCAAGAAGCCCAGAATACACTGGGGCGGTGCCCCAGGAAAGGCTCAAGAAAAGCAGAGGACCAGCACTTAGCAGCTGGGCTCAGGACATGAGAGGAAGAAGGCAATTTTTAGAAGCAAGTCGAAGGGGTTCATGTTGTCATAAGCTGGAATTGTGCAAGAGAAGCGGATGCATCTGGAAAGGTAGGTCTGGGAGATCAAAGTCTGTTTGTTAGGACTTCCCTTCAAAGCATGTACCACAATTCTCTCTCACACTCATTTGGATGATTATGTAATTGTCTTCCTCCCCTCCAGGCTGTGAGCTTCATGAAACGGGATCCCCATACCTGCGTGGTCACCACTGTTTCCCCAGCCTGTGGCTGGCACCCAGGAGGGCTCAGAGAATCAGCTAGACAAGCAATTTAAAGATTTATTTTATTTTAATTTTTTTTATTTATACAAGAGCCAGGGTACAGGCCAGATGCGCGGGAGGGTGAGATGATTCACCAGAGACAGTGGGGAACAGAACAGGCAGAATGACCAAAATACACTGCTGAGGGGAGCAGCGGGGAAGACAGGAGAGGTCTGCTTGCCATGTGGGTTGCTCTGAGGCTGGCGGGGATCGAACCGGCACTGCAGAGGCTGTGGACAGCTTCACAGCGCTGCACTCAACCACCTGCGCCACCAGGGAGGCCCTGGACAAGCAATCTAAAGCTGAAACACTCAGGACTGTTTGATGCTCTTTCTCTGTATTGCTGGCTTACTGTTTTGCCCCCAAAGCGTATCATCATATGAAAGCACATTACCCAAAGGCATCTTATCAAAGGAAGACAGTCCCTTTTTGGAAACCGTGGTCTCAGAAATACCCTGCTGTGACTTTAGACTCTGGGCTGTAAAGGCTCACTCAGAAAGGCAACGGGTGTGGGGAAAGGGCACAAAGAATGTCACTGGACCGTCTCAGAGACACGCCCAGCAGTAGTCATGGAGGGTGTCGGGTGGACACTCAGCCGCTGGGACACAGCAGAGCAACCAGGGATCAAGGGCTCACTTAGTGCTGGGGCGGAGGCAACGAGAACTCCAGTGGCTGATGATTCACTGTTCACTGGCCACACGTGACAAGCAGCGCTCCAGGAAATGCGGTGTCAGCCCCAGGGCAGGTGCCCCAGCCCGCCCACCCCTTGTGCAGAGCACCAGTGGGCGCCCAGGGCTCGGGTGGCCATGGTGGGGGAGGGGAGGTGATTTCAGGGAGGACTGCAGACATCATGACATTGTCAAGTTTAGCACAGAACCACCAGTTCCCCAGCCTGAGAAGCTTCCTCTGACCTGGAGAGCAGGGAAGTTACAAAGCAAAACTTTTATAAACGAACAATCAGCATCTATCACTTCAAGCAGCAATAGGGCCTGTTACCCAGGATTGGTGGGTCCCCGTGCCTCAATATGGGGGCACTGGGGCACAAAGGACACTGCCCAGCAGGGCTCTAGGCCTCTGCTGCCTGCCCTGCCCTGCTGTCTGCAGCCAGGCCCTCAGAAGCGCCAGGCACTGGGGTTTGGAGCTGACTTCACAGGAAACCTTGGATAAAAGGAACGGGAAGTGCCTCTTCACCCTGCCCCCCACTCCCCTTGAACTTGGGTCAGCCTCTGGGGGCCGTGACGCTTGTCTGAGAAGCGACCAGCCAGTACAGAGAAATGACTCCACCTCTCCCTGAAAGGGGTCAGGCAGATTTTTGGCCCTCTGGCCCAGGGAGGCGGAGGCCCAGGGGATGCCTCCAGGGCCTCTTGCCCTGCTCACCTTTCACTGTAATGCGGGGGCAGCATAATCATGAAATGTGCTTATTAATTTTACTCGGCTGACACGGTGCTCTCTGCCCCGAGCTGGATGTTAGGAGAAAATGATAGGGATAGATTCTGCTCCTGTCAGACTCACCGAGACTTTCAGAAAAGCAGACTCTCCAAGGTCAGCTGGGCCCACCAGCCAAGGGTTCAGATGACCTCAAAGGTAGCGGCAGATTGTGAAAGACCAACAGAAGGGAGCAGCGAGGCGACGGGGAACCTGAGCCCTGGGGCAAGGCCCGACCAGCCTAACCCTCCCCGAGTCCCCCAGCAGGTCCAGGGGTCCAGGCTGAGCCCCTGCCCTGCTCCAAGGCTTACAGATTCCTATCTAACTCATCAAAAGACACCGGCTTCTCAAATCAGGAACATTTTATGAGCTTTCCCAAGAGTTTTATGGCACCAAGCCATACCTAAGGATTCTATTTTATGGCAAGTTATACATTCAAACGGTGCTTTCATGTCAAGCAGCAGGTAAGACTCAAATCTTTGTCAAAAAAGATTCCCTTGGTCCTTCACTTTCAACATGTTTATGAACTTTCACACAGCTGGAGAGAGAGGTGCAGCTCTGATGGGCTCCTCCCTCCCCTCGGGACCCAGCACCCTGACCCAAGGCACATCAGGCTTCACCGAGGGTTCTCAAGCCCCCCACCCACCTGCAGACATTTGGCAACATGCGGACACAATTTTGGCTGTCAGGACCACTGGGGAGAGGAGTGGTGCTGTTGGCACCAAGAGGCCAGAGAAGCCACTGAACGTTCTGTCCCAATCCGACGCCCATAGCAAAGGCCCGACCATCCAGTCGGGCGGCTCCCGCCCTTCACACATCAGACAAGGGGCTAATTTCCACAACATGACCTGCTCACATAACTCAACAACAGCAAAACAGCCCAATCAAAAAAATGGGCAAAAGACCTACAGAGGCTCTTTTCAAAAGAACACAAGCAGATGGCCGGCAGGCACATGAAAAAATGTTCAACATCCTTATTACAAGGGAAATGCAAGTCAAAACCACAGTGAGCCATCCCCTCACCCCTGTGAGAACGGCCCACATCAAAAGGACTGGAAATAACAAATATTGGCTTGGATGTGCAGATAAAGAACCCTCAGCCACGGCTGCCGGGACTGTCATCTGGCGCAGCCTCCGTGGACAGTGGTATGGAGCTGCCTCAGATAAAATAAAAATGGAAATCCCTCGTGGCCCGGCAATGCCACCACGGGGTGTTCACTCAAAGAACGTGAAGATGCTGGTATGAAAAGGTCTGTACGCCCCTGTCACTGCAGCACTGGTCAGCGTGGCCAAGCCACAGGCCCCCCCGAGTGCCCCGGGCAGAGGACAGGGTGGAGGACACAGCCGCTGGGCTACTACTCTGGTATTAAGAAAAGGTGAAACAGCGCCTTTGGGGACAAAATGCATGGACCCTGAGGTGGTGACGCTTAGTGAAGTCAGTCAGCAAGTGAAAGACAGACACTGATGGTCTCCCTCACTTGTGGGTTATAAATAACCAGAGAGCACAGACTGGCAGGCAGAGCACACATCATTCTTAGTCTCTGTGAAAAATACACCGGTTAGCAGAGGGACCGGGGGAGGGAGGAAGGTGGGGAAGGAAGGGCCAGGAGTTTGGGTAGAGGGTGAGGGAAGCGCCTGCACAAGTGGAGGTGTGACAGTGTACCCCTACAGTTATAGAGACGTGTCAATGACTGACACCCCACAACAAGCCATCCCCTCCCCCAGTGAGGATGGCGTATATCAAAAGGACTGAAATAACAACTACAGGCGAGGGTGTAGACAAGGCTGCGAGCCCTCCCAGCCTTCCAGCGAGTCGTGAGCGCTGCAGAGCTCATGGTGGGAGACTGCTCTGGAAACCCTGAAGAGCTATAAAAACACATGACGCTGTGCTTATGGATCCTGTGCCCGCAGGATGAAGACAACCACCGGGGGTCTCTCCTGGATCCTCTGCATGCAATGTCAAGCCTCAGGTGACTTTGGACAGTGGGGAATCTGACCACTTCACTTCACAGAAGGTGAAGGTGGTTCACAGAGGCCAAGGCCAGGAGCAGCTCCAAGGCTCGGGTCTTCTGACACCCGAACCTTCCCATTGGTCTTGCCTGCCCTCCCCATTTAGGTTCCCAGAGGAAGAAGCCCATCTTATACACTAGATTCAGAGGGTCCAGAACACGGGAGATAAATATTTGTTAAATCTGTGGACAAAAGGCAAAAGCCGAGTCCTGACTTACTACATCGTAGCCCGTCGGGGCCCGGTTCCGAGAAGCCACGACCCCCACTCCTGTGATGGGGTCCATCGATGTCTCTGGCAGGGCTTCCGAAAGGTCTTTGACCTCAGGCATGGTGGATCGGTCCTGGTTCCGAAAAAGAAAAACAGCACAATATTCAAACTGAGTGTTCAAAGTGAACAGCGCAAACATCTTGAGCAGATAGGGCCAGAGTCTTGGGGCCAGCATCCTGAGCTACGTTCCACCCACTGGAATTGGCTAAGAGTCCTGACCTTACCTGACCCTTTCCTTAGACCAAGAATTCAAATCACCTCTAGCTCCTGCTTGGCAGACACTGAACTAACAAAGTGAGGGCTTGTCCTTGCTCTGAAGAGGTAGTTTTGGTTCAAATCCAAAAGCAAACCATTCTCAAACTCTCCAGCCCAGCTGCCTGACCTCTGAACAGATACCAGAGCTTCCCAGAGGCTAAGTCAGACCTGGCTAAGTCGGCCCACACCCTGCATTGCTCTCCAATATGCTGTCTCCTTCCAGAGGAGGACAGGCTTCACGATCCATGGCCTCTACCACAACTTAGGTGGGATCGTTCAGTGGACAGAGATTTGTAAACAAGTAAGAAGCTTTGCAATCACAGGGAAGAGAGCGCTCTGGGCATGGAGGCAGAAGAACAGGGCTCTAGTCCAGACTCCAGGACTCTGAGCTCTCAAGAAGTCACGACACTGACTGTGGCGGTTCTGCTGTGAAAATGAAGAGAATCATGTAACTGAGGGCTGGCGAGGTCCCTGGCACACAGTAGGCACTCACACAAGCAAATGAGACTGGTGGGTTTGGGGTACGCAGGTCTGATGTGACCAGCCAGAAACCTGGCAGGCAACGTTCCCCCTAGAGGGCTGGCAGTTGCCTTTGTTGGGTTTAATCCTGCAGGCCATGTGGGCGCTCGCTCAAAGCAGGCCGCTAACAATGGCCGTAATTCTTGCTGGGCACTTTGGGAGAAGGGGGGGTGGGAATGGAATTATTATTCTACTGCTGACTGCCTCTTGATGTGACCAGAGGAGACAGGTAGAATATAGAGAGCACTGGGTCTGGGCAGCTCAGTGGCAGTACACCAGAAAGCAAATAAAAAAGGTAACACCTTATGTAAATGACTTTCAGTACTTTTAAAAGGACAAGCATTGAAAAAGAGCAAGTTAAATTCCACCTCCTTCTACAGCAATTAAATTCCACCGGCTGTAGTTCTGCCAGATCTCTCAAGGTTGGTTACTGCTTTTAAAGCAGACCCAGCATTCTGCCTAACTAGGCAGGCAGAAGGAGGACTCTTAGTTCTTAGCCTGGAATCAGAAAAGGCAGACTATTAAAAATGATTGCAGCCTCCTAAATAGGAACAATCAAAATATTGTATGCAAGTCACCCATGTAATCAGCGTCCCCCAGGACCCACCAAGTCTCCAGAAACAGACTTGTCAATGCAATGGAGCCAAGTCTCCCTAGAGGCCAGGAGGCCCCCAGTACTAGCCCCGCTCCACTTGTGTTTATGACAAAAGCCAAACTAAGTTATGCTTTACTTATTCTCCTGGAAAGAAGCTTCTAGAAGCCCAGGGCAGGGAGGGGACAGGATACACATCCTTTACTATTTTCCAATTTCCTTTACCAAGTGGACTAATCTGCATAAAACCCTGGGCTTAGAGCTTCCTGCACACAGTAGGCTTTAAGTAAATAGTTAATGAATGAACATGCGTGCATGTCCCCAATAAAGAAGGTTCAGAATTAAATATCCTCACCGGCCCAATCCAAAGCAAACATTGATCAAAAAGTGTCTTCACTCGAAAAACCCCATATTGTGGGTAACACGAAAATCACATTGCTGAAGCTTGCAAAAATATTGGTACCTGCTGTTGGTTACCAAAATGTTTTGCAATTAACAACTCATTAACGGAATGTACAAATTCCTGCCAGTGCTAAAATATCATGCTGTGAATTTAACAAAGAACAAGCGAGGTAAGTTTTTTTTCTTTATTAAGATAGTACTGCCTCCACGATCAGAGAAGGGGGGAGGGGTGCAGAAGCATGGGGATAAGTAAGTACTTCATTTGCTAACAGATTCACATCCTCCCGCCGCAGTGCCCTCCGCCAGGCACGGCTGGCAGCGGCCCTCTCTCGCTCCGCAGCCCACCACCAAGTAGGAGGGCACACCCGGCCTGGAGGCCCCGCCAGCTCCCCCAGGGCGCCCCGAGAGCAGCCCAGCCGCGACTCCAAGATGGCCGCGGGCGGCCTCCAGCTGAGGCAGACAAAGGAGCGGGCGGCCGCAGCCCGGGAACAGGCAGCCGGCAGGGCGAGCACGGAGCCTCTCAGAGGCGGCTGCCGCTTCCCTCCCGCGGCTGCCAGGCCCCGGGGATCAAGGCCGCCTTTGTGAAGTAGAGACAGACGCGTCCTCCTCGCGGCCGGGCTCGCCGCGGAGCCAGCGCCGCCATCAGCGGAGGCGGCTTCTGACGAGCAGCGCGCAGACATCCCGGCAGAGGCGATCCCTCGCGCGGCCTGCCCGCGTCACGTACTTTCTGACTGCAAATTACTTTTAAGAGCGTCTCCACCATCACTTCCATTGGCCTTCCTAACCAAAGCCCGTTCAGGGCGCAGCACCCACCGCTCCCTGGGCCCGAGGCGGGCCGGGCCGGCACCCAGCGCCCGCCGGGGTGGCAGTCAGGCCCCGGGGAGCAGGAGCGGCCAGCACGTGGGGCCGCAGAGCGCGTCTGAGGGGCGGCTGTGGGGCGGCGGGTGTCCGGGCGCAGGGGCAAGCTGTCTGGGGGTCCCTGCGGCGCTGCGGGCCCCCCTGAGGCAGCTCCCGGACAGGGCCTTCCCGCCGCCGCGGCCTCCCGGGGCCCGGCCGGGGACCGGAGCACCCCACTTTCGCAGGCGCCAGACCCCTCGACGCTGCGCAGAGGGAGACCCTGTCCTGGGAGCGCAGCAGTTTCAACACTAATTATATGTTAAAAGGCCAGAGTCTCCTTTCTCTAGCCGCAGCCCAGTGACCGAGGGGGAGAAAAGTGCAGCGAGATAAAAGGAACATGGGACTAATTTTCCTCACACCTCAGTTTCAAGATTCAACATTTCCCTCATAAATAATTTACAACAATAAAAATGAGCTAGGGCCACGTTCGTGTAGGACGGAGGTAAATTTAGGCCTAATGAGGGAGACCGCGCGTCGCGCAGGAGGGAACAGGCTGATGGATGGCCGCGGCGCGGGGCGACAGCCCGCCGGGCCCCTCGCGGAGTCGGAAGTCCCAGGGCCCGGCGGCAGGAGGGGCAGAGCTCGGGGAGCCTCCTTCCCTGCCAGCTGGGGCTGCGAGGAGGGGCTGGGGGCGGGGGTGGGGGGGTGGGGGCAGACGCTGAGCCAGTGTTTTGGATGACAGGATAGCGGATGTGGAGATTTCCCAGCACTGGAGGACGGAACCAACCTGCAAGTCAGTCAGATCCAGTGACTGTCAGGTAAGGGATGCAGGTGGGGCCAGCTCCTGGGACTCACATCTGCTCTGAGGTGTGGGGCGCTGACCTGGGGCTAGTCCTCCTCAGGTCACCCGGTGGGTCGTCAGGTTCCAACCCCAAGCCTGTGATCATTTGCAAGGGCGGGGGGACTGCTGAGCCTTGCTGCCAGCAGTGTTCTGTGTCTCCATGAGGCGGGAGAGGGTGTGCACATGAGTGTCTGTGTGTGTGTGCATGTGTGACTGCATGTGCATGTGAGTGTGTGCGTGTCTCGCATGCACACACTGGGGCACGTGGGAGTCAGGTGGGGTGAGGCATGTTCTGCAAGCCTCAAGCCAAGGAGGATTTTTGTCATGCCTTGCTCAGGTGAAGTACGCACAGCACTGGGTGGGAGACAGCCTGCTTCCTGCTCTGCCCGCAATGCTGCAAACAGCACCTAGGGGCCCCCAGCGGCCCCACCACAGCACCTCGGCCGCCAGCGCTGTCATCCCAGGTTCACAGAGAAAGGAACTTGAACTAGAAAGGCCTGGCGCACAGACAGCATGCTGCTCCTGGTAGCTGATCAAAGAGGGAAGGCAACAGTGTGCCTAATCCCTAAAAGTCAGCCGGCTGGGTTTAACTGATGCTGAACATTGTTTCTGAATCAAAGAGGAGCCTCCCCGCCCAGTCTGGGAGAAAACTAAGCTACTGTATTGCAGTTGAAAACTCAGGGGAACTTTGATATCATCTCTGTTTAATTTCCCCCGCCCTGGGAGCCTGGGGTTTATCTCCTTTTATCAACTCCTGCAGTGAAATCAAACCCCAAACGACAGAGCTCAGACCTCTCTCCTCCTCAGCCCTTCCAGCAGAGGGCTGGGGTGCGGGCGAAGGAGTTTGAAGTGCTTTCAGGGGGCAAGGACTGCAGGGGGGCAGGGGGCGCTGCCTTCAAAGGAGGCACAGCAGGAGGCTGTGGCCAGAAAGCCTGCTCAGAAGCGGCACCGCCAGCGCTGCCCACCAGGGCCGGCGGCGTGACATGCACACAACTCTTGAGGAGTCATTCCAAAGTATTAAGGGGGGCAGGTACACTGGGGTGCTGTCATTGAAACAACAAAGCCGGTGGGTTAATGAAGTCCCCACAGAAGGACGAACTTGCGGTATGCTTGTTTGAAATCCAAAGTCAAGGGCACAAAAGGCATCAACTGCCTGTCCACATCTACCAGCCTGTGGGCCTGGGAAGGGAAGTGGATAAATATTTCACTCACCACGGGAAATGGCACCAGAGCCAGGGGGAGACTGAGAGCCGGCTGTCCCCCAGGGACAGCTACTGGGGCGGCCGTCAGGGGGCTGCTCTGCTGTTTCCAGCAGCAGCGATGCAGGAGTCCCTGCCCCCTCTATTGTCCCTTGACTACTAGCACTGCCCCTCAGCCAGGTTTCACTAATGGACACCAACACACACACACACACACACACACACACAGAGCCACCTCCACACAGCAAAGGTGCAGAGACCTACCTCCTCAAGAGGGTGTAAGCTGAGGCCAGGGTCCAGGCGGCACCCAAGTAAATGGCCAGCCGGCTCCCAGGCGCTAGCGAGTGGGGAAGGCAGAGGACAGGCTAAGAAGTGTCCCCTGTGAACTCTCAAGACAGCATGCGGGTGTGCTCCTGCCCTTTGGTCTG